ATTCATTTCTAATACATTTATGTTCTTTTCTAAGCTTAAATAGATAGTTCACACAAAAAATGATAATTAACTTTCCCTTTACTTCTTTCAAACTTTTTTGACCTAATTTTTTCTGTTAAAACACAAAAGAAGATATTTTGGAAAATGCTGAAAACCTGTAGCTTCCATAGTAATTTACCCTACACTGGAAAGTCAGTGATTATGGGCTTCCAGCATTGTTTAACAAAAGAAAGAAACTCACAAAGGTTTGGAACCAATTGAGAGTGAGATCATTTTTATTTATGGGTGAACTGTCCCTTTAAAGCCACTGGTCCCCATAATACATGCATACGTTTTATTTAAAAAGAAATAAATCTAACCTGGGCATTATATTCATCTGTCATTTTGGAATCACATGAGGGTGAGCAGACCATGGCAGGATTAATATGTCGCCGTAAACTATACTTTTAACCTCAGCACAAGGCCGCGTGTCAAACGAATACTGAATTTCTGTAGAAATCATCACCGTGTTGGTGACAAGCGCAGCGGATGTGTGAAATGAAGCAAGACTGCCATGCCAGGGGTCTCTGCAAGCAACGTCAAAGCTTCTTTCTTTTCTTTTTTTCACAACGACGGCTGCTCCATTTTCTCTCTTAGATGGCCTCTTTCTTTCAACTCTCAAACCATCTGTCTTGCCTGTCCAAAACCCTTCATATTCCTGCCTTTGAACAAGTGATCCTTGTCCCGGGGCACTTTTGAATCAAACCGTGTCTTGTCTTTTTGGCCTCAGCCTGGAAACCATCCCAAGAAAGCAAAACGGCATGAGGGTCAGTAGAGTAGCGTCTTCCTCTTTCCTTATTCCTCTTCCCTTTCCTGCTCAAATTCTTCATTTTTTCATCTCTTTCACACACACACACACACACACACATATATACAAACACCCACCGATATCCTGTTTTCAACAGAAAGTGTCCGTGTTTGTCTGCATATTTTGGCATTTGAGGGGGTCTGCTTCTGTCCTGCCATTGTTCCCTTGTTAAAGGTCTCAACACTTGTTGAGCTTGTTAGCGATGGCTGGCACCCCAACTGCTTTCTGATACGGCACAATATTGAAAAGCAATTAGCCTCATAATACCTTCCTGTGCGGAGGGAGAAAAAAGAAAGGATGGCAGCAGCAATGAGCTTTTGGTGCATCTGCTCACTCAGACTTGGGTGGAAACCAGTGGGAGAGAGATGTGAACTTTTGTGCCAGGAACGCTTGTATTGAGCCAATCGCGCTCTCAATAGGCTATTTATGCACATGTCTGTTGCGTCAGTTGAGTTTAATTTATCTCAAGAGTCACGCAAGCACTCGACAGTAAGAGAGAGAGACAGAGACAATCACTGACATGTTAGATTTAATGCAGGAATTGCTCCACAGCAGCATGATTTGTCATCCTGACCCCGGAGTGTGTCGAAATCTCTGGATGGGTGACCGTGGGTTTTTTTGTGCTCATTATTACTGTAAGGGTTTTGTAGGTCACTAGATCCTGAGAACAGGCTTCTTGTAATTGTTGAGGATGGAAGTGGATAGATAGTAGATTCTCGGAAACTGAAGAGCACAATACTGAGACTGTGATAGATGTTTCTGGATATACTTTGTATTTGAGACGGTGTTTCAGTGCCAGTACAGATTTAAGTATTGTCTTTAATACTCTAGAAAATTGGTTTAAAAAAGATCACTTTGGTCATTTGGAGAATCGTGGATGCTGGGTTATTCGTTTTATGATTTTCCTGTCAAGTTAATTGTATTTGTACTAAAGTCAAAATTAATAATGTAGTAATATATAAAGTTGATATATTTATTAAACATTTCCGAAAATGTACACTATGTTTAATTATAGAGTGAATTACCTTGTATATGATATATAAATATATTATTTATGTTTATAATAACATTACAGTACAATAATACTGTAACCACGGGGAGTGACACATACAACTGAGGTAGGATCCAAAATGCAGGTTTATTCGTAGTCAGGCAAGCTATGGTCAATACGGGTGCAAACAGGTTTGTGAGGACAATCCAGAATCGTAGTCGATGTAATATGCAATAGGTTGTACGGCAGGCGGCAGACTAAGACAGGAAAGCTAACAAGGCTAAGGTCGGTAAACAGGATAACAAGACTAGGAAATGCGTTGTAGTGCTACTTACAGTTAACAAGACTCGGCAAACTGAATGGGTGAGTGTGTGGCTTAAATAGTGTGTGCAATCAGTCTCTGACAATCCTCAGGTGGTGTGAATGTAATCAGTTTAGATGAGGAAGCATATGTGTTTGTGACCGGAGTGCATGTATGAAAATGTAGTCCAGGAATGGCTGATTTGTAGTCCATGGTTATTGAGAATGAAATCCAGCGATCTTATGAAAGACGATCGCTGGTAATCGTGACAAACACCAACGTCCCCCTATATATATATTTCTGGAGATTGCGAATTTTGTAACCAGAAGTACATATGGCTGCATTTTGCGGTTACCCAATTGTCCAGTAGCTCGCATGTACGTCACCGGACTTGAGACACAGAGAGGAGTTGACCACTACAACGGGCTTCGATTCCGGCATAGAACGGTTCCAGAAAGGGAGTAAGACAGAAGTAAAAAAATATATATACATACATACACACACAAGTAAATAACAGGGTGGGAATGTGGTAAAATCTGAAAACATGGTAAAAATTAGGGGACGGCTTTTCTTTTTCTGGCTTTTTTTTTTTTTTAAACACTGACGGTTGGGTTTAGGGAAGTGGTTGATTGGGTCAATAGGTGCTTTTTTTGAAAACACTATTGGTTGGGTTTATGGAAGGAGGGTGGGTCATTTAATCAGTCAGTCAGTCGACAGCGACCTCTTGTGGATTTACTCAAGAACAGCAGGTCTGAATGACACTCCCGAACGCAATTTAAGAGCTCAAAAAGCATAAAAAGCGGTCTCTGGTGGATTTGCCAAAACAAAAATTGCAAAAAAAAAGGCGCTCTCCAGCAATTTATGTAGGGGTACATTTTTATAATGAGCCTTGGTTAAATAATTCAATTTAATTTGTATTTCGGGGTTGCACTTTGATCCTTAAATAGTCTATTAATATTTTGTATATATTTATTTTATATATATACTTTTACATACATATAAAGTAAAAACAATAAATTCAAAAATAGGATTACAGCTAAAATAACCTGAATTAATACAATAAAACTAAATTGAGTGTTAAACTGGTAAACATGATCAAGTGGCCGCCAAGCCTAGTCAAACTATAAATGTGATATTTGTGTCTGACTTGAAGTCATTCATTTATAGTGGGAACCTCATTTTTCTTCCAGCAGTTTGTTGGCAGGAATGAAACCAAATTCACATTTATTGCGATGTGCTTTTCTTGAAATCTCCTCAACATAGCGTTCCCAAATAGCACATGTTTCTGGATCAAAAGTCATTTGTTGGTACTAGAACAACATTCCTATCACTCGTAGATCTTCATAGATTTATCCCTGAACAGCAGAGAGATTCCCGAATACTAAATCTTGTTGCTGGGATTTTAGAAATGTTGTTCTGTGAGCAGCGAGGATGTTGATTCAGGAACATGGCCTATTTTGGGGATAAAAACATTTTAAAGGGACAGTTCATCTAAAACTCAAAATATCTATCATCTATTCTGCCTCCATGTGTTTCAAACCTGTTTTTTTTTTTTTTTTTTTTTTTTTTTTGATGAACTCACAAGCAGATGTTGGAAAACAGTAGGCCACTGACTGTTGTGACAAAAAATGATGCATGACAATAAGAATGATTGATTATTGTTTCATTCATTGTTTTATAGTCATCATGTGAAATAATTACTTTGACGTTTATTTAGGCTGTTATGCTTTAAGAACAGGATTTCTGTGATGCTTAGCGCTACTGAGAGCGTGTCTGTAACTATTGATAACTGACTAAATGTGTGTTTAGAGTTCGCGCCTGTTTTCAGTATTCAACAAACAACTTCATCTACAATACCATTGTTTTTAGATAATTGCCTCCTTTTTATATGTTTTACATATTTATTTACTTATTTGTTTATTTAATTGCTTAACTATTAATTTATCTCTGTCTTGATTCATCTTTGCATATTATTGAAAGCCTCAGGAAACAAGAAGGGTTGGGAGATGGGACGGATGTTGCTTAGAAGTTGGTAGAAGAGTTTAGGTTTGATTTTTTGGGAGTTCTGCAGTTTCAGCACTATCATATATTTGATGTCATCTCTTTTTTGCTTGTAGGACTTCTATTTTTTCATGTACATATATGTTTGTATATTATCTTCTGTAAAAAAAACAATAAAAATAGTGAAAATATTTGTTTTAATCAAAGTTTCCAGTCGTAGTTATTGCTGCTAAGATAAAAAGACAGAACACTGACTTGCTACACTGTAAATAATATGACAAATAGTCATGACAACAAATGTTTTTATATTACTTTTTTTTAAATAAGTGAATCAGATTTCCACTAGATTTTATTTATACAGTGTTTAACCTAACATTTTTGGTCGGTTTGACGGATGTTGAAGTTGAGATGACTAGAAAAGTTCATTTGATTCAACTAAACTAAACTTAAAGGTAGCGATACATTTTTACAGTGTACTATGGATGCAGGCCTGTAGGTTCTACAGACCCACACCCACTGACAAAGTTCAGAAAATGACCCCTATAAAAAAAACGCTAGAACCACTGGAGGGTGTATGTGTGTAAATAATGAGTAAATGATGAAGTAAAGGATGAATAAATTTTCAGTTTTTATATTAATAAATTATATTAAATTAACAGTCTTTTTAATCTTTAACTTTTCTGTGTACTACTGCTGGGAACAGAAACACATCATAGATCATGCAAATCTCTGACTGTGATCAACTAGGAGTAACTTGACATCTGCCCCCAAACACAATACATTTCCACACACACACACAGAGAGACTTTTTCTGACCGGAGAGAAATGTTTTTTTCTTATGATCTGTTTGTCACCTGCAGGTGGACTTGGGTTTTCTGCGGTATGTGACGGCTATAGGAACACAAGGTGCCATTTCAAAAGAAACCAAAAAAGCGTACTTTGTCAGAACATACAGGATCAGTGTGAGCTCAAACGGAGAGGACTGGATTACCCTGAAAGACAAAACCAAACAGATGGTAAGATTTTTATATATATACAATGCAAATGTTTGCAAAATTGATCAGTCTAGCAAATGTTTGTTATTGTATTAGTTATATGTAATCGTATGTTGTGATGAAAATATTTTCCCCCAAATATCTGTTATCTATGCTTACTATTTTCTTATAAAGTTATAACATTAGTTATGTTGTATAAAATGTTTAAAAATATGTCTGAAACCATGGGATCTTTTTTGATGTTTTGTTATTTTATGCAAAATGGCATATTTTTTATTTAAAATTTGGGATGATTTTCAACAGAATAAAACACATTATAATATATTAATATATAAAGTTATATTATAGTTATATAATAAAAAATAAAATGTAAACAATATATCACAGCAAATCAATGCATTTAAATAAAGTTATAATATATATAAAACACAGAAAATGAATGCAGCTTTGGTAAGCATATGAAATTAATTATTGTTACGTGTAGTTATTATATTTTATTTAGTTGTTTTGCTGAATTTTATTAGACTTGCTTTATTTAATTGGTAAGTTTAGTTGTATTGTTTTATATATGTATTTACTTTTTTGCTATGACAGTAAAACATTCTGAAATTGAAGATTGTTAAAGAAAAGCAGAGGAAAGACTGGATCAAAGGGACACATGTATTTTCTCTTTTTTTTTTTTTTTTTTTTTTTAGGTTTTCCAGGGAAATGACAATCCCACAGATGAGGTGCGCGCCTTGCTGCCCAAACCCACCCTCACCCGATACATACGCATACGACCTCTGCTCTGGGAACAAGGCATCTGCATGCGCTTCGAGGTGTATGGCTGTAAAATACCAGGTACACGTCAGACACACACACAGTCATAGTTTCTCTTGGGTGAGTTTAATCCATGACGTCACTATAAAATCCCAGCAGTTTTTGTTGTGGTTTACAAAACTGAGTCACTCGTAATTCCTCACTCTGTGTGCGATCTTTACAGAATGACTCCTCTCTTTATTCACCGACACTCAATATCTGCATGGGTGTCAGCCTTTTGAAAAAAAATGGAAAAATTATTCCAACTACAGCTCTGGAAAACATTAAGAGCCTGCTGTGCTCAGTTCTCTGGATTTGCCATTAAATGTTAGAACATGCAAACTCCACACAGAAATGCCAACTGGCCCATTGGTGACTCGAACTAATGACCTTCTTGCTGTGAGGCGACAGTACTAACCACTGAGCCAACGTGTCACCTTAAAACCGCCAATTTATCCAGCACGTTTTTACGCAGTGGATGCCCTTCCAGCCGCAACCCATCCCTGGGAAACATTCACACACACACTCATACACTACGGACAATTTAGCCTACTCAATTCACCTGTACCGCATGTCTTTGGACTGTGGTGGAAAGCGGAGCCCCCAGAGGAAACCCACACCAACACAGGGAGAAGATCCAAACTCCGCACAGAAAAGCCAACTGACAAAACTGAGGCTCGAACCAGCAACCTTCTTAATGTGAGGCAGTTGTGCTCCCCACTGCGCCACCGTGACGTTCTTGAAATGTCAACATGATTTGTATTTTTTATTTTATAAACTAGTTGTAGGACGGCTGAGGGGTTAGCACTGTCGCCTCACAGCAAGAAGGTTGCTGGTTTGAGTCCTGGCTGGGTCTCTTTATCCACTGATACCCAATAAGTGTATGTGTGTGTGTTTATTTTAACCAAACCTCACCATTTCTAACGGGTAGAATAAGCCAAGTTGTACAGTTCCTGTGGATAATAATATTGATACTCCTTCATTCATTCTGATTGATCATGTTCTCTGTTATTCTTCTCTCAGATGCTCCATGCTCCAATATGTTAGGGATGGTTTCGGGTCAGATTTCCGACTCTCAAATCTCGGTGTGGCCATCAGCAGAGAGAGGCTGGCTCCCTGAACAGGCCCGGCTGCTGACCGGCCGGACGGGCTGGGTGGTGGCTCACCCGCAGGGCCTAGTGAAGAACCAGTCGCTGGAGCTGGATCTGGGGGCCCAGCGGATGGTGACGGGCCTCGTCCTGCAGGGAGGGAAGTACAGAGATCTGAACATTTTCATCAAACGCTTCAGAGTCACTTACAGCGTCAATGGAACAGACTGGAACCACATACTGGAGGAGAACAGCAACAAAGTGAAGGTATTTTGCATGTGCTCCATTCACATCAATAGCCATGTTCCCATCCAAAAACTGCAAAACTGGAATATTGCATAAAACATTTGCAAATAACGCTTTGGTTACGGAAGTGGAAATGCTATTAGTGGATTTGAATTTAAAAATCTACGAATGGGAGACAATTGGCTTCTGAACCGAATCCTCCCATTCGTGGATTTCTAAATTCAAATCAACCAATAGCATTTCCGTTCCCCACCCGAAGGNGAACGCTCTGATTACGGAAGTAACCCTCGTTCCCCGAGGAGG